ATGGATTAAAGGATTTTTTCTTCCAGCAGTGCCCATACTGGGCTGGTGGCAAGGCAGATCAAGGGGATTGGACATTTCTGGAAAAGCCAGACCATAATTTTATAACTCTGTTAGAGTTTTTAGGGTTTTAACAGTGAATCCATCAGGAAGTCTTTCAAGAAATATTTTTTAGGCGGTAGGTCATGAGGAAACTCATGATCATACAGGAAAGGAAAAAGAGATTTTGCAGCTCAGATCTTTGTTTGAAAGTATCTGAAGAAATAAACACATTTTCCCCTGGCAGCTGTTTAAAATGTATTGGAGTATCTGCTTGCATTATTTATCTCATTCTGGGTGTCTGATTGTGCTGGCTAACTCTTCCGAGCAGGAGAGGAAGTTCTGATTAAATGATGTGTGCCTAACTGCCTTTTTTAACTCACTACCAACTGTACAGAGAAGCTGGCATGTGCAATCATGTCTTCATCATTTACGAGCCATGGTTCACTTCCATTTCCATTTCTATTTCAGTCAGTCCGTCTTAAACAAACACAGCCTATTTTTCATTTTGTATTTGGACACCTGAACTATTTTATGATATTTTAGTCTAGATTTATATCCTGATAGGCATTGGAAAATGCTACAAAGAAATTTCAAATCTTATCTTTAATTACAACTGACAAATTATGGGGCAGATTACCATTTATTCCTATGTAACATTGATTATGCCTAATTCTGTCTTTTCTTGCACTGTTTTGTGTAACTAAAAAAAAAAAAAATCTAGTAAATTAATAAAATTCATTAATTCATTCATGTACTAAATAGTGCTTCTCAAGAAATATTTCTTGTACCATCATTGACTGAAAATAGGTAGCTTCATGAGATCCCCCAGGAACTTCTCATATTTAAATACTTATTTCTCCAAATAGCTGTGAACGATGCAAGTTCCCTGTCCAGTAAGGGACAGGAAAGGTTCCTCTCTGTATTGGACAAAATTTTCTATATTTTACCAAATAGCTCTCAAACACAGCTCTCAAATAGTGTGAGAACATCCCCAAATGCTGCCTCCTATCTGGCAGAGAAAATTACATGGACAGGCTTAAAGAAGCTCTGTGCTCTGGTATGCAACAAAACTATTTGTCTGAAATATTGACATCAGTAAGAAGCCCGGCACCAGAAATTAGAGGTATTTCATAAAGTTAAAGGAAAGCTAGTCAGGAAATCAGAAACATTAGAAAAAAAAATGCCTTATGTAAAGATACCAACACCTCAAGGATTTCTCTGTTCATGCTCAAGAGATGCTCCAGCTAAAAGAATGGATTCACAGAGCTGGCACTTATGATCTTTAAAGGATCCTAGTCAATTTGTGAAGCCTTTAGTCCATGACAAAGCCAAATTTAAACCTGAATGCAATTAGAAATGGTTAGAGATCTCCTAGTGATAGCCTTGAAAAAAATATGTCATAAAAATCAGTATTTTGAATGTGAAATTGCTATAATATTGTGGCTCAGAATTGTTTTGAGATGGATTAAATGGTTTCTAATAAATCTGTGCACTGGAATCCAGATAAATAGATTTTATACCCAGATCCACAGGAGGACCTCATAGAAGGTAAAACTTGCCACATTCCATTAGCAATGAAAACAAAGTTGAAAAATTAATGTGTGAGACAATTGCTGAGGTTTTGTGTGAGAGACCACCACCAAGGTAATCACCCCTCAGATGCAAGATGTGATCAAGCCTCTTTAAATCAGTGAAACCCTGCTGATTTACTGTGGTCAGGAATTTGCTGGCAGACTTTTAAAATTTGATTAATAGATGCAGAGAAAAAAAAATTGTGTAGTTTATGCAATCTGCTGCTAACAGGAAGGTTTAAAAGTGATTTAGAGCAAGTGTCCAAAAGAGAGAGGCATTCTCCTGTATTTGGTTGAATGGCTACTAACAGACATCTGGAGAGAAAGTCAGAGGAGCAGTTGTTTTTGGAAGGGCAAATTCTAAATTCTAGGTAAGGAAATACACCAAGGTATAAAGAGGGCCACAGTGGAGATGAAACACTGCAGAGTGTGGTGGTTTGGTTCAGCTGAAATGGAAAGTAAAGTCTTTCCACACTTGTCTGAGGAATTATTAACAGATACAGAATTGTCTGCGATGGTTTTAGAGAACAGGATGGATATATATCTGGAATAATATATAATATATGGATAATAATATATAATGAATATATATCGAGAGAAAGAGAGCGAGACCATCACTTTTGCTTATCTCCTGGGGTTCTGCCCTGTCTACTCATGCCAGCCATAGAAATGATGAGGCTGTCTCCCTGTCCTAGCTGGGGCAGATGTGGGGAGTGTGACTGGCACAGCTTCCAGGTCTCCTCACAAACAGATCCCTATCAGAGAGTCCATCTCTTCCCAGCCCTGCAGCATCCCCAGGCCCTGGAGGCACAGACATCAGGCTTATTTTAAGCTGCCTGTAGATTCCAGAATGAACGAGAGATTTAATATGGGGAAATGTTCACTGATAAAAGGGACTTATTTACCATGCCTGCTCTGTGTGCTGCATTCCAACAGAAGCTGATAAAAAGCGAGAAATAATAATTTTAAAAATGTATAGGTGGATTTATTCCTATGTGATGTTGTCCATCACCAGCAAAATATTTTCCTCACTGCAGGACAGGAAACTAGGAGAAGGGGGTGAAAATAGCACATGTCCTGCTAAGCAGAATTTGGAGCAAGAAGAAATAATTTACAGAGAGAGCACTAATGTTTATGAAGACCACCTGTAACCCAACCTGTACCAAGGCTTATCAAAGAACACAGGAGCCCTATCAGATATGGGAGGGGAAAGGTTTGATGCCAGCTGATAGGGGAAGGTTAGCTATTTTATGTCTTGGGATGTGTTATTAAAAACCTTTGCTGCTATCACAAATAAGCTGAATTTATGTCTGTAAGCATAGTACCAAAAATGCAACACAGATCACATAATCTTGTTTTCCAGCCAGACCACTTAGCAATGCACATAAAAATATCACATAAAAAGGAGTCTAATGCCTCAGATCTTTACAAATGTCTAACAAATAACAGTTTGAGAGAGAGGAAAAACATTATGCATAAAACATCATCAATATATGTTGCCTTATTCAAGGAACATATTTATGTATTTTGAACATTTGCATTTTACAGTTTGCCATGAAATATTCTCTTTCCTTGGTTTCAGAGAGGAGGCAGACAGCTGGTGGAGCCACAGATATAAGAATGTTTTCCCTTATAAATGCCTTTGACTGTTGCCTTCCACAGGGACAGAAATCAGCTGGAAGAGGGAGCAAAGTTTATCTGTGCTTTGTTAGACTGTGGCAAAAGGGTGTGTAAGCACTACTCTACAGAGGTACAGCATTAAACATATCCCAGAGATATGCTATGGACTAGGAAAAGTGTTTAAAAATCTCTTTTCAGCATGATCTCCCCATTGTTGGGCTTTGGGGGGGTTTTTTGTGAGCCTCAGCTGAATCCTTAATGTTGCCTTAACCCTTTCATTGTGGGAATGGGAGGAAAGACTTGATTAAAAAATGGTTGTAAGTATTGTTTCCACTTTTAATTCCAAATGAAGAAATTATGTTTTATCGTAATTTAAAATTTAATATTTTGCTGAAGAGAAGCTGTGGAATCACCATCCCTGTAAGTGTTCAAGAAACATAAGCTGTGGTGCTTATGGACATGGTTTTGGTAGTGGTAGGTTAATTGTTGGACTCAATGAGCTTGGAGGTATTTTCCAACCTTAATAATTCTATCTAAAGAATTATTTAAATATATAATTATACAGAATATATATAACTGTATTGGTTATTAAAATATTTATGTTTTATAAATTAAAAAGTGGTAAAAGGAAGGTCACATTGCATAGTGCCCTTTTTCATGCATTAAAAAGAAAACTTAGACAAGTTAAAGTAAGATTTTTTTGGGAAGAGAGGGGTGAACATTATTATGAGGAAGGAGACCATAACTGTCTGCTTTTAGATTAAATCAAAGAATAGGTTCATCATTTTTCCCTGTGGCAATTTAATTCACATTTTGCACTGTTCAGGTAGAAGCATATTAATGTCAAATTACAGAAAGCTAGTCATTGTACTGCAGTGAATAACTAATTCCATTGTTAAAATGTATCAGTGGTTCTCAGCCAAGGATAAATGACGTTTCCTTTTCTATGCATAAGGAAAAATCCTCAGTGCAGTCAGGAGACTGATGAATGTTACAGATACTCTGTCTTCTTACAACTCAAACCCTCATCTGAATTGCTCATGCCCACTACTCCTGCCAGCCAGGCCTGTTAAAAAGATAATTTAAAAAATTCACAAAGGAAAAGCGCTGTTTCTCCGTGTCATGCTGCCTGTTTTGTTCATTTGTCAGGTCTCTGCATATTGCTTTCACCAATCTCCCTGTGCATTCATCAAAATGGTCCCACACCCCAGTGACTGTGGGATCCAAGCCCAGCCAGCTCCTGGGCCCACACAGGAGGAGGAGAGCATTTCAAAGGACTAACAGAAGTGAAATACAAAATTTCATGATCACTGGAAGCAAGGAAAAGTCCTCAAATTGGCTCCTTGGATGGAGTTTCCTGCTCTTCTCCAGCCCAGGAGATCAGTGCCCTGTGCTGAGTGACAGTGAGGCTCACAGAGACAGCAAAAACAAAAAGCTTTCCTCTCCTTCCTCCACAAGGTAATGGTGTTTGACTCTGAAGGAGGGGAGGACAGTGGCAAAAAGAAGCAGAAAATTGATTTTACCTCTGGCAGGCCATTCAAGTGCTATTTAGCATTAAATAACACTTGAATGACCTGTGTTATTTGGCCCTTCAGGGGGCCAAAGCAGCTGTTCCAGTCACCAAAGATATCCTTCCAAGCAGATATTAATCTTAAAAAGTTACTGCCCTCGGGACCCATAAATATTTTTGTTCTTGCTCTCATACCTGCAATTATAAGGATCTATATGCATGTATATTTTTAATCCCTGTGAGCTAATGGATGCTTTTACTCCTTGTTCTGAATCCCAATAGCCAGAAGGACTCTGTTCCTTCACCTCACTGTCCTCTGACAGCTCCCCAGAAGTTCTGACTGGACACACTTAGAGGAACTGGAGAGTTGTTGAACAGGGTGCTTTGGTTGTACAGAACTGTACATCAGATTTTCTGGGCTACCATAAAACCATGGCATCTGGGCCAGCTCAGTATCTTGAGGTATGTTATTAACATTGAAATGAAATCCAGAGCTAATGGCAAATTTTCTGTTTCTCATCAGTCCACTTTCCCCATATTTCTGTTCCCTTTATTCCATTCTCTCACTTTCTGAAGATGTTTTGAAGGACATTTAGGCTTGGTAGATCTTCATTATTGCCCAGCTGGATTTGCAGGTACATAAAAAATGTAGGAGCAACGTAAAATTTCCTTAGGAAAATTTCCTTTGCCATGGAAAATTAAAATAATGAACTGAACTTGTCAATTACTAAAAATGAATTACTATTTTTCCTTAACAATTAGGCTTTAAGAGAAAAGATGTTGAAGCATTATCATATTGCTGGAAATGGAGACAAAACCCTTAAACAGTACAGCTAGAGGCGGGATTTCCATCTGTTCTGCTATGGAAAAGAAACTTGTTCAGGAGTGGAGGATTTGCTGCTTTTTAGAAAAAGATCAGGTAAGGTCACAAAAATGTCTCGGAGGTTAATCTCATGGGTGGCTTTATTTATTCCTCCATAGCAGTGGCAGGTCAAATCTACTTAGTTTAAAAGTCAGAAATATAAGGGAAGGTTTCTGTCTTTGTTTTGACTTCCACCTCCACAAATTAAGCTGGGGTTTGAAAATCAGTCTGCTCCCTTTCTCCATTAGAAATTCTTCCACATGAGTCTGGCTGACTTTTTTGTTCTCCAGGCAGAAATTCAAGTAAAATATTGCAGATCTAAGAGCTAACAGCAATTCCTTCTCCTGCTGAGAGGACTCTCAGGACCCATCCCTCATACAGGCTCCCTGATATCTGTCAGACTCCAACAGCTAAAGCAGCTCTCCATTACTTTTGTCTTTATTCACTCAAACTGTAAAAACCTCACAAAAACAGTTTTTCTTACCCTGTTTGGAGTTGTATGTGCTTCAGTTTTTAATTACCATTGTAAGCACTTCCTGAGGATGCCTTCACACACCTTGGGCACTGTACAGAGATTTCCAGGTCTAATGCACTCTGCTTTACTATATGGTAGTCACAATTCTCTATTAAATCTCTCATCAGTGTTCCTGTCATATTATTCTGCAGAAGTTCCTGTTTAAATTCAGCATGACTATTCACAGAAAGTGGTACTGCTCAGCATAAGACTAGCAAACTTTGACAATAGAAATTAGAGTATTCCATTTACAACTGCAATTTCCAGAAGCCTGTCTGCATTTCGTGGCACTGCTGTGCTGTGCTGGGCCATTTCAGACATCCTGCTTTCAGCAGGCTTCACTAACTCCAAGGCAGACTTCATTTCTCTGCCTAGAAATAAAAGCTGAGTTGCCTGCCACAGGAAAATCAAGGCACTCCTTCTCATGGGAGTAAAGATGGGATATCCACCCATTGTGGGTGGAAGAGGGACTGGACATTTCGAAGTATGCAAGAGAAAGTAGGTAACATTGTGACAATTGTCTTTCTATTTTATCTGACTTGCAATGCCACCCTGCAAGTCCAATGAATTCAGCAGACATGGCCAGACCATGGACATTCATATCCTTTTTCTTGCTCAGTTGGTGAAAGCATTTCTGTCAAAAGAATTTTTCCGTTAAAAAATATAATTGCTACCCCAAGGAAATGACTTTTTCATTTTTACTTTTTTATTTTTTTTTAACATTACCTCTTAGTCCCAGTCTCTAGATTGTAGTCTGCATCTTACTCACCATCCATCTCCAATGTCACACAGCAATGACTGACAACAGGAGCAGTAATAATAATAATACTGAAAACATTTTACTTTTATCTGATGGGATTAAGTTTTTCCCACAAAAATTTTGTTGTTCCATGTCAAATGTATCTTTATTTTGGTTGCTAATGGAAGTATATTGAATGAATATAATGTTGGCAATTGATGCTTCTGCTTAAATTGATTTGTTAAAAGAACCAATATTATTTTACTGTATTTTACCTTCTGGTACAATGTCTCATGATATCCTGTTAAACATAACAGTCTTAACTATGCATCATTTAATGCAGATATTGCTACTTAGGGTGATGGGCACATTTTTAAGAACAATATATCAAAATGAAACTTGTATTTCTAGGGCTATTACATTGCATTATGTCAAGAAATAGAACACAATGAAATTGATATTTTTCCATAGCTTTCAAATGTGTTTTCTTACAAGTTCTAACAACTCTACAGGAAGTGGTCAGTGCCTGCTCAGGGCTGTCTGATCCTTGGGAAAATCTTCACTCTTGACCCAGCTTGTCCAACTCTCAGCAAATCCTGCCCTGGATGGAAAGGGCCATGTTTTGGGGAAAGAGAGGGGAGTTAATACAGGAGCTGTGTCTTGCTTTACAAGGTGACCTTGCCACCTGCAGTGGGAAACACCAGGGCTAAAAACAGAGATACTCTGCAAGTTTGTTATTTATATTTCAAAGGGGCATATTCTTTTAAAATTCTGGGCCAAGACTCTCAGAGATCACCAAACTTTTGAATCCCTGCACACAAATAAAACCTTACATTCACTCCTCTACAAAATAACCAACATTCACTCAGCACCTTCAGCACTTCTCTTAGGGTCTGCAAACTGAAACACAACTATTTTATACCTGAAAGTTTGGTCAAAAATAAAGCAAAGCACTAAATCTACAAGCACCAGTTCAGGCACATTCCCCAGTCTATTCTGGATTTAAAAAGAATAAAATAAAATAAAAGTTCTGGTGCAGGGAGTTCAGTCTACCACGAAATCAGAAGTTCAAAGTGCTGCTGTCCAGCAACCACTGACAGGTGTGAAGTCTCAGTGTGAGGGCTTTGAAGAGAGACAAAATATTTCATAGGTTAGAATTGCAAAGCAGGTTCCTTTAAATCAAATCAAACTGATAAATGGCTTGCCTGTCCTTCATGTAACAGATAATGTCCAGTCTTATTCCATAATTTCTCTTTTTCAATTACGTTTTTCACCTTCTGTGCAAAAATAGCAACCTTTTAAAAAGCAGAATTGCAGTTGCTCAATTTAAATTTAGAGACTTATTAAAAATGGAGAACCATTTCAACATTTTTCTCAGAATGTGCTTTAAAATGTCTGGGAAATTTTCAGGGCAGACCACTTTTTGTAAACAAAGTTACTAAAAGCTAAATAAAAGCTCTAAAATGAAATTTGACTGTATTGGGGAGTATTTATGTCTGTAATTTTTTATGAAGACTACAACTATAGCTCTATAGGGGGGAAAAAAACCAAAAAGAAATAAAGAAAAAGCAAGAGAAGACCAACCCAAAAGCTTGTCTAATAAGCTGAATAACAGCTTTGCCACCAGGTTAGGCAAGTAAGAAAGTTAAATATCACAACAGGAAAAAGGTGTCTAAACTACCAGACCATTTTAGCTGAGAGTACTTAGGGAATATTTCTAAAGGGTATGTCAAGTCAAAATAACATCTTCACAGTGGAGGAGTTTGTACAGAGAAAACAATGGAGGAGGAGAAAAGAGAAGAGAAAAGAGAAAAAAGAGTGAAAAGAGAAGAGAAAAGAGAAAAAAGAGTGAAGAGAGAAGAGAGAAAAGAGAGGAAGGAAAAAAGAGTTAAGAGAGAAGAGAGAAAAAAGAGAGGAGAAAAGACAAAAAAGAGTTAAGAGAGAAAGGAGGGAAAAGAGGAGCCCTCATTAGGTCCCTCCAGGAAATAAGAGGTGTTAGGGAGAGAGGAGAAATAGCTTTGATTCATAGACAGAAAAATCAAATATGCTTTCTCTCCTCATTGCAGATTACTAACATATCATTATTTCATCATATCTTTTTCAGACAAGATCCTCTAGCCTGATGACAACCTAACGAGAAGCACCATCCAAACAATGAAGAAGACATGGATTGGAAAAGATCCTTGGGCATGTGACAGAAATAAATGATCCAGGGGGATGGGCTAAGGATGGATTGCATTGTTCAGCTTCTGAACTTAACCAAAATTATATTAATGAAAGAAAAGAAAATATAAATGGGAAAAAATTTAATTATATTAGTCCTCTGAAAGTAACACTTTGGAAGAGACCGTTTTGTTGGAAAAGCTGCTTCCATATAATGGACTATACAGATAATATAATTACCCATATTACAGCAAAAAGAGAGAGTTTTAATTTTAAATAGAGGTGGATAACACATGTACATCTTTCATTAGTGGGTGGCTGCCAGATGAAAACCAATGCCAGGGGATTTTTCAGACTTCAATTTTATGATAGGGAATTTTTTTAAAACAATAGTTTCTGTTCTGAGGAGTCTGAAGTATACAGCAAACGTTATTAAAGCTTCACTGGCCTGGGAGAAGCCCCATGATTGTCAGAAATGCTGACATGAGTGATGTAGAGCCTTAGTGTCTAAATGCTGAAGTATCACCATATTGAAGCTGACACATCAAAACTGAATCAATGATAAAATGCCAGAGAAAAGGTTTCCAGTGAAGATACTTGAATATTTCAGTGTGACTGCAGTGAAGTCAGCTGGCACAGACTCAGGAAATCCTTTTCTAAAATGACATACTGACCAAAAACACTTACAGGGTCCTTAATGTGCATATTTCATGATAAAGAGCATTTAAAAAACCTGAATAAATTACCATGGATAATCTTTTAAAATATATTATAATAATATATATATCTATATAATATATATATCTATATATCATCTATATATATCTATATATCTATATATCTATATATCTATATATCTATAGATAGATAGATAGATAGATAGATAATAAATATATATAAAATAATAGAGAATCTTTCTCTTTATAGCCAGTGAGAATGATGGTTCATTCTATGTAATTTTTGAAATCCACTGACATCATGCAATGTTTACAATTTCTGGTATTCAAGGGCAGAAAATTCAACATCTTTGGCTACTGACATAAGAACAATTCAATACCATGCAAGCAGCCATGTTCAGCTCAGTGAAGGGGAAGCTGCATGACAAGAAAATCATTACAATCTCTTATAATCAGGCAGATGGATACAGGTTTGTTGGCATCTGGTGAAAGGCTCTTCAGGAGCAGGCTGTACATCCCTTCTTCAGGGCATTTATTAAACAGTTTGTCAGGTGAGATGGCGCTGAAGCAGAATCCCAGACTGGTCCATTTTGGATTTCCAACTGCAAGTCACAGATGGAATAAAGAGGAGAAAACATTCTGCAGTGAAGCAGCCAGAGACCCTAATGAAATGTGGCACATTAATTTCTGAGCTATGAAATTATATAATCCCAGTGGATTTACATTTTGAATTCAAGGATCACAAGGAGGATGAGATAGTCTCTTCTGTGAAAAGTCTGTTTACTTCACACTTTGCTTGTGGCTGGGCTTTGCCTCGTGTAATCATCTCTGGCAGAAACCTCTCATTGAAAAATGAAGTAATGAATTATTGCTCCTGAATCATTGCTTGCATTTTTCCAAAGATGTCCAGGAAATGTCAGCCTTGTTGCTTTATCAGACAGACCAAAGAGCTGAGATAGACAGACAGACAGATGGATAAACAGACAGGCAGACAGCAAGATATGCAGAGCCCAAGTCTGATCTGACAAAAAGCCCTAGAATAAAATACCACTAATTCATGCCTTGTCTTGTTCTTAAACTGATCAGTGGTGGTGGGGAATTAATTTAATATCATTTTCTAGAGAACTGAATTCAGATGCCTGTGATTAAAAACCCCCAGCAGTTTAAGCTGGGTGTATCCACAGCCCAGTTTGGGTTGCTGTCATCAGGCTGTCAGCTGCCTCACTTCACACCACTTTATTCCAATGCCTGACAAACATTCATGAGAGAAGTTGTTAATTCCCACTTGAGGCTATAGGTACAGAGAGAATGATATTAACAGGAATCAGATCAGTTTTCAGTCTCCCAAAGACCCCAGCAGCAAGCCAGCAGCCTTGGAGCATTTAGATGGGCCAGGGCTCAGTTTTCAGCACTAAAAAGTGCAGGCAGTTCTTTCATCTCTACAACATGAGCCACACAACTGTCCCAGACCTTCTTACCTGCAAGTAATCCAATTTCTTCTGCCATGTGGCCAAGCTCAGTGCCCTTCTGAAGCAGAGGAACAGAACCAAATGCCTCTTGCCTGAGCTGGTTCTCACTGCACTGAGAGTGGCAGGTTCTCCTCAGGCAGTATAATTTCCATATTTACTTGTCTTTTGTTACTGGTTTGCAGTGGATTACTGTGATAGAAACATAAATATTCCACGAAAGCAGCAGCTTCATGAAGGATGTGACAGCTGGGCAATGTTTCAGGCTGACATAATAAATTACTCAGATTACATATTTACCATAGTTTTGACTTATTGTTTTTCCAATACTAACATGAAGCAGGATGTAAAATTGTGTACAAGAATTTGGGCAGATATAAACACCATTCAGGTGTGTCATTCACCAACACATGCTTTGCAGTTTGATTTGGTTACAAGACTTCAAATTCTTCTGAAAGCTTCTCAAAGCAGGTGAGTTTTTTTCTAGGTATTAGACTGGAAACATAATCTAGGCATTAAAAGCAGTCTGCAATGAAGCAGAATTATTTTGTTGAGATAATGAGGTTCATTTATCAGAAATTACAGCATAGGGAAAAGGGAAGACAGATTTGGGTATCCTTGGACAGTAGTCTATGCAGAAATAAATACAAAATTCCATGCAAGTTTCCAGAAAAGATGATTAATGTAGCAATTTAGGTTCCTGAATATATCCATTTTAAGTTTGGCTGTTTGATTTTACTCTTCCTTCTCTCTGGAAACATGAGATCTTTGATGCTCAGTTAAGACACTGGGGGAAGTCCCTATTGTTTAGCAAGAATTAATCACCTTTTGTCCCCATTTTTTCCTCATTTCAAATTTCTAGTCAACTTTAAATTTTTCTTTTTATTTGTTTTGGCTTATATTTTTAGAAAGCAAGGATTTTTTAAAAAATCAACCCCATAATAAGGGCTCACTTTACACAGATTAATGAGGAGTTGACATTTTTTCTATAATATATCTCAGGGAGCATTGACAGTTTTTCAATACAGAGGAAAGCTTGGGAAAAGATAGTATATATCAAGTGATTCTCAGTCAAAAGTGAAAATAAGAATTAATAAATACTAAAAGACATAGATTAAAAATCTGGCATCTCCATGCATTCTTTTTTTTGCCAAGCCTTGGTTTATAATGCAGAACATGACATATGATAAAGGCAAGTATATATATATATATATATGTACATATATATAGTTGTCTCTTGATCTATTGATAGATATGACATATGAGATCAGAGGATGTTTCTTGGCTGTTATCTAAAAAAGTCCAGCTAAAGCTGGACCAAAAGTACATTAATGATTCATGTTCAGGTACAGATAGACATGCTGTGAAACACTTTTATCTTTGCCCTAAGAATAGTGTTCTCATATCTCCCAGTCTGTGTGACATATGCAAAATCTACTAAGATTAGTCTTTGTCTATTTTTGATTTAAATTCATGATGTACAATATTATAAGATTACCCACTGACAACACTGTATGAAATATTTGCTTATTAACTATGGATGGAAACATGAGACCCATGAAGTCACTGGTAAAATGCCAAAAACCCAAGATTAAAGTGCAGGAACAAGTGCTAATTCTTGGGATGGAGACTAGCTCTTGATCCATGTCTGTAACTCAGGTGAAGAATTTGAAAATGGTAATATGGATAAAAGATAAGGGAAAAAAATCCCATTGAAATTATAAAATTAAAATTATCTTTTTTCTTCTACAGATAGAAACCTGGGGAAAAAAAACAAGATCTCTGTGTTCAGTTTTCATTGTCCACTGGTTCCATTAAAGCCACTCTGGCACCAGAGCTATTAAAACCAAATCCACAGTACTGCTCATTTTCTAACTATTTAGCAGAACCACCCACTGCCTCTTAACATAAATAATAATTATTTTCTCTGTCATTTAAAAGGTATAAAAGTTGAAATATAATGAAGACCAGATCCTGAGATGAATCTTTTTAAGTGACAATAAAAGAAAAAGGCATAACCCAGTTGTTCTCTCCTTCTAGAATATGTAACTCTATGAAAATTTGCAGCCTCCTGCAATGAGAGCATTGCTGCATCCACCTGATGTCTGCAGCATCACAGCTTGCCTTGATTCTTTGCTGGGAATCAAGGGGTTAACCTTGGGCTGCTGCAAGAGCTGGCAAGCTGATTGATAACACAGAACGTGTTTTTAAAGTTGTGGTGCCACTCCTGGCTCTGAACAGCACCAAGCAGCCCTGGCACCTAGGGCATGCCTCAGGACTCCAAATGCTCCAGTAATAAAAATACCAAGGATTATTTAGAGTGAACTTCACCCAGCACAAAATAAGTGTGCTGAAGGGGCCAGGTGGAAGGAAGAAGGTAAGAAACCATGAGATTTGCAGCTCTCTGCACATCACTCCAAAATGTCTCACTTCAGAGCTTTACCCTGTGTGATGCACTACCCATTAGAGGAGAACCTTAGCCAGGATGAAAGGGTTTCATCACCATTTTACACTGAAGTATTAAGAAATATCTTTTTAATCAAAAAAATTGTGCTGTAAATATCTCAAGATGAGCAAATCCTGATGACAGTTCCCTCTAAATTCTTCAGATTTTTACAGCTGTGCAGTCAGAAACGACCTCTGTTGGTAACTTATTGATTTCAAAGCTCCATTTAAAAGAAGGTGAATCCAGAACTATGCCAAAAAGCACCATATTTTCTAGAGATAATGGAGAATGTTCTTTGACTAAAATAAGTTTTTTGCTGCTCTGTCACTACTTTGTTATATATATGCCTCATGGCACCTATTGTCAAGTTAAAATGCTCATTCAACATTTCACTGTTTAATGTAAATTTTTTAATAAGATCGTTTATTTTTATTACTGATCACTCAAGTAGAATTTATAAGTTGTATTCCCCTCACCATCCCCAAATACAGTTATCCCCCAAAGGTAAAAAATCTTGGAATGGGTATAAAAATTGAATTA